GATTGAAAAAGGTGTGGTTACTTAGCAACCAAGCGCCGATATTGAGTGTCTCTTTACGGTACCGTGGAACGTTTAAACGCACATTCTTAAAATGCCTTTCCGAAAAGATAAGAGTTGCTTAATTCACTGATGAGATAAATTGACCATTGTCTAGCTTGGCTGCAAGCTGCCGGAATAAAATGCAATATGACAAAACAGAATGCCCTTTGTCGATATTAAATGCCCCTGCCGTTGTTCAATGACCCTGGTCGAATAACAACAGATGCTAGTCTAAATCCGTGAAACGTGTCGAAATGCGTGCTCCAGTGTCGAGTTGCTGGAGTGCCTGTCGAGATAAGGTGCCCGCTGCCGTAATTGAATGAACGGATGCCGATTCGGATTGAAAAAAGGTGTATAAAACTGTCCCGCTACGGATATGCAGCCAAAGCGATCGATGGGTCAGCCCGTAGGGTTTCCACCTTTCCAGAGGGCAGTTTTTTGTCAAAAAATACAGTTGACCATGACTGACCACACCGCCGTCCTGCAAACATTGTTGCCGCTCTCCGGTGACACCACCATTTCCATCTCGGCAGACCTGAACCATCCGCGCTGGCGGTCAGCGCCACTCACAATGTGTCGACAGATCGTCACAAATGAAAAAATCTATATTGTTGTTTTTCATGCAAAAAAAGGCTAAAACATTGTCAACTTTAGATGCGTTGAAAGGAGCGAGGCACCGAATGACCCCCGTCAACCTTTGGATTCGCCAGGAGCGTGGCCCCGAATGACCCCCGTCGCCCTTTGGATTCGCCAGTGCTTCCACGTTGTCACAGAGTGACGCAAGGATGGTGACCTCAAATGAGGTCAGCTTGTGTGCCGGAAGCGGGTGATGTTAGGGACGAACCGGTGTTAAGGTTCCAGAGCGACTGACGAAATTAGGTGCCCGTTGCCGTATTCCAATGAACGGTTGCCGATTTGGATTGAAAAAGGTGTGGTTACTTAGCAACCAAGCGCCCATGTTGAGTGTCTCTTTACAGTACCGTGGAACATTTTAACGCACATTCTTAAAATGCCTTTCCGAAAAGATAAGAGTTGCTTAATTCACTGATGATATAAATTGACCATTGTCTAGCTTGGCTGCAAGCTGCCGACTTAAAATGCAATATGACAAAACAGAATGCCCTTTGTCGATATTAAATGCCCCTGCTGTTGTTCAATGACCCTGGTCGAATATCAACAGATGCTAGTCTAAATCCGTGAAACGTGTCGAAATGCGTGCTCCAGTGTCGAGTTGTTGGAGTGCCTGTCGAGATAAGGTGCCCGCTGCCGTATTTGAATGAACGGATGCCGATTCGGATTGAAAAAAAGGTGTAGTACTAACTCAGTAAAGCTTATCAATTTTCACATCAGAATTCGAAACGGGAAACAGCGAAACGATCGGTAGGTACTGTGACGCTAAACAAGCAATGGCCTGCTTTTCTCCCCCTGAGAATATCTCAAAGCTACAAAGCTGCATGAGGATTCATTTGATGCTAAAGAAGCGTTCCCGAAAATATGAATCATCTGGGTGCCTCCGGTTACCCGCCGAAATTGAATGAACAGTGCCGAATTTGGTTCTTACTGCTGCTAAATAGCGTGCGCTACCTCTAAACTTATGCTGGCGCAGCCGATTCTACTCGCGCTATCGCCGAAAATGGAGCGTTTTGCCGCTGTGCCGAAATTGAATGCTTTACCGCCGACTGCCTAACCTGCGCCGAGATATTATGTGATTCTTGTACATAATTTTGCGGTATGTCTACACACATTCCGTTAGTTCTAAAATGGACGATTACGCACCGAATTTAACTGACAAAAGGTGTAGTGCACAACACCTTAGCACGCACGCACCTACATCGCCCTACACACATCTTACTACAAGCGCATTTAAAAAATCCTGTCCTTTGCCCCCCAGATTGGGCTCGTGCGGCTTCCCGGACGCGAGTTACCTAAGTGTGGAACTGTACGTCGACGTGCCGGCCGGATGACGTCACACCATGGCCAGTGCCGGCGCGGCGGCAGACTGGCCGAGATTGGCATGGTCTTAACCCGGCACCGCCTGGGCTATTTCCGTACCCACGACAGCCTGGGGGGTCGGATCCGACCCCCCCCCCCCCCTGTTATCTCGAGAACCAATGGTCGTATCGAGCCCCGCGAGGCGGCGTTCGAAAGGTCTCTACGAGACCTTCCCAAAGCACTCTTAAGATTTTAAGATTGAGGTCAACTTTCGGGTCAAGGTCAGGTCAAAGGTCAAATTCAGGGGTTTTGCATGATTAGGCTTACGGACAGCGGAATCGATAGCTGCTGCTCGAAACTCACCACAAATGACCTCAAAGACCTAGTGAAGGTACCATGTGCGTATAGGGGTCATACTAAGTACGGGTCAAGGTCAGGTCAGGTCACGAAAGGTCACGGTTTTCACTTTCTGCTACATGGGCGTGCGACACATGTTTGTGGCTTATTTTTCACGCCAAATCCGATGATAATGGTTATATGTGACCCCAAGTCACTGCGCTGGTGATAAGTGTGCATTGAAAGCATAAAAAATCGTTTATACCATACATAACTAAACGAGGGCTGAGAAAAAAGGTCAATTTTTCAACTTTTTATTTTTGACATAAAAATGCACTTTTCTAGACGAGCTTTGTCCCAGGAATCTAGTGGTGCCATTTGTTTTCACATGCGATGTTCAGAAGTGCCTCTAATTCGCGAAAATGCTTATGACGTCACCATGCCCTATGCATGTTGGAGCTATTTTTTACAATTTGGGGGTCAAAAATCAAGATAGAAAGTTTAAATTTGGGACATCTAATGTTCTAATAGAGCTGTATATCATATATTCCGGTTTTTTGAAAATTCTCAAAATTTTGGATTTTATTAGCTGTTTTCCAAATAATATAGTTTTTTGAATTTTTAGGGATGAAAAACGCATTTTATGGAAAATCCGAGATAGCTATTTTAAAGAACTCGTTGAGCTGCGTCTTTTCATGTTCTTAATTTGCAATTTGCTTAAAACCTCGATTTTTGGCGAATTTTTAAACATTTACCATTTTTTGACTGAAAACGCCATGTAGTTACATCACTAAAATCGATATATCTCAGAAAATTTTGAAATTTTTTTCTTAAAGATTGCACAGGAGACGTCAAATTGATAGGGGAGAAGGTATGCCAAGTTTCAAGTTGATAGCGCATGCGGTTCATGAGTTATTTAAGAAAAACGAGGGGGGGTCGGATCCGACCCCCCCCCAGGCGGTCGCGGGTTAACTTGGCGAAGAGGCATCGGACGCCAAACTTCTGCTGCAGCTAGTTTATTGCGTTTAATTTTAGCGCCTTGTATTTCTAATCATCATTCATGTGTATCAGCTATCAAGTCCTTCAAATACCTAATGTGTAGGTGCTTGTACCTATATTTAGTGTATGCTATGCTATGTTGATTGAGAATGGGGGGGGGGCACATCTGACACGCTGCTCAATGGATTCTGCTATTGCTTGGTTGATTATGGCTGTGTGTCTTCGCGCAAACCATTGAAAGGGAGGACGTCATTTTTAAAGGCTGTTAGGTGCACTCAAACGTCTAAGGATAAGCAACTGCTGTCTGCTCATTGAATTTCTGGCGAGTGGTGGTGGAACGTTCTGTTCACAAATGAGTACCTACCTACACCTTTTTTCATTGCGAGTCGGCATAGATTCAATTGACCGTAACCATAGGCGGCCCAGTTCGGTAAATGAGCATTGTGTTAGACTTACTTTGGACTGTACGACAGTTTTCATTTCGTTAGTTTATCCGCTGTTCATTTTCGAACGGTGTCACAGTATATATCGACAAGGGCATTTGATATCGACACTGACAATAGTTTTAGTCTTAGTTCACTTAATTTAGTCGCTTCTCGATTGAATTAGGCAATACAAAATGGATTTCGTTAATGGATAATTTGATTTTTATTTGCATTTGATTTTTTTGTAGGACAATAAAAATATGAAACATGTTTTGTTTTGTGTTGATAAACTATGCTGAAGTAGCAAACTGACCACGTGGCGTCATCTATATCATTTACACTTGAACCTCTACTGGTTCCCGGTAGGCTAGGTGACCTCAAGCCAGGTCAGTGCTGGGTCAGTGTGCTTGCGTCATTCGGTATCAAGATGCCGAGACTCCGCCATACCGTTTGTGCCGCGGACCGCGAGCGAATCATCCAAGCGTACCGTGATGGCAACGATTACGTCGCTGTGGCCCGCCGGTTGAGCGTGAAGAGGACCACCGCCTGGTCCATCGTGGCAAAGTGGATGCGTATTCGCCGTTCTTGAACCCCATTGAGAACTGTTTCTCTGTCTACAAAGCAGACCTGAAGCAGCGTCTTGGACAGGTGCAGGGTATACGCTGGACGATCGCGGCACGGCTCTGGCGGCAGGACACCGTGACATCGGAACGTGGAGGAGCGCCATCCTGGAGGAGCTGGCGGATCAAGCGATGGCTGCCATGACCCAGGAGAAGGTGGCAGCTGCTTATCAACACGCCAACGCGTTCATCGGCGCCTGTCTGGCCAGAGAGGACACCTGGGCCGGGTGACCGCACCGGCGCGGCGACAACTGGCGGCGGCGGAGCGTTCAGTTGTGTCCATTGATTTTGCTGCTTGTGTTCATTGTTATTGCAGTGTTACGTAATGTTTTTTTTATGTGGCATGGCCATTGGCCATACACAAATGAAATTTTGTTTATCATGTTGCTCTTTTACCAGAGGCATTTCAAGCTGATGACCCATTACTGTGGATTAAATTGATTCGTTAACTGCTTGTATTTATTTGTTTTAAAATGTTGAAGTACACACATAAATAAAGTTCTACTTGTATTGAAACCAAATTGTGTTGTATCGTGCAATGAGACTAAAAAGCAATTCTATGGTGTTTTATGAACGTGATAACAATTCATTATCTGCGTATATTCGTAGAGACAGGCCGCGAGGACAATCAAACCAAATTCAGTTATGGCACCGTGCTGTGCAACGCGATGCAGCACGGAACATTAGCGCCGGACGGACGGGTGTCTACCGGCCGGCCCACGCACACCGACGGGCGGGTGC